TGCAGGGTTAGATGCTGGGCATTGACCTACCGTTTTTGCTACAAAAGAGCCACCTTTCTGGGAAGATGGAAGGCTTGGCGGAGCACAGGGATATTCCCATTGTCAGAAGAGCAAATGTTGGGAATAAGGGGGGAAGTGGAGGAGGCTCGGTAATCCTTCAGCAGTGCCTAGAGCAACGGTTCTCAACCTGTGGGTCGTGACCCCTTTGGGGGTTGTATGACCTTTCCACAGGGGTCACCTCAGACCATCGGAAAACACATTTCACATTTCCGATGGTCTTAGGAACCGAGACACCGCTCCTCTATCCGTCTTCAGGCCCACCACCTCAGGAGAAAGAGAGGAAGTTCCCAGAATCCTCATGAGAAGGCCACACACCCCAGGAAGCATCATTAGGCTGTGACCTGATTGATAGGCTAAACCCCACCCCTTCCCTCTATTTATCAAGTTGACATGAAATGATGTAATGACCACACTCACTAAATGAGGATTTGCACTCAGTAATTGGGAGGCCTGAGATTCCACTTACTGAGTAAGCCATGTAGGAAAGGATATGCCTGGAAATCAGAATCTGAGTTAAAATGACTGCCATTGGATAAAATCATAAAAAGGAGGAGGATGCTTACTTGGTAGGCACTGGTATAAAGATACTTTGAGAGAGAAAAGCAAAAACCTGTATTTACACGGAAACCAAGACATGAAGGAACAGGTGCTAGTTGGGAAGGGAAACAGGGTGGGTCGTCATGAGGATCCAGACGTGTGTGAGTGTCGTAGAGCAAACTTAATGACTTTCCGGTTTCCATTTTAATTTAGCGTAAAAGTTGAAAGACGACATGTTTGATAATCCTCTCAGGTGTCTCAAATCCCCGGGGCTGGTGGTGTCGTGTTAGAGAAGACAGGAGGAGAGAACTCAAAAAGACATAAAAATGTCATTGCATGAGCCGCAGGGACTAGAGCAAGCACACAGTGCCTGCTCCGCGTGAAATGAGTGTTGTAGGAGAAGTCCACTGGAAGGGATTTAGGGGCCCTGGTGGCACAGGGCTCAGGTGTCGGGCTGAGATCCACAAGGTCAGCTGTTTGAAGGCACCAGCCGCTCGATGGGAGAAAGGAAAGATGGGCTTTCTACTCCCGTCAACAGTGACAGTCTCGGAAACTCACAGGGGCCCGTCCACCCTGCGCTGTAGGGTCGCTGTGAGTCGCCATGTGCCCGATGGCAGTGAGGAGGGTTTTACAGAATGAGGAATGAAAGACGC